GTTTAAAAACAGAGATACAGTTAAAAAATTTCCCTGTGGGCTATCTTGAACAAAACTCAACTTTGCATGTTTGTTATTCCAGTCTAAGCCATGAAATTCTGGACCTCCACAAAGTTTTTCAAAGCAGCTGGAAATACGAAACTTTGTGTTTGAAGGTTTTATTTATTTTTAATAATCACTTAGTTCTGAGTCATGGTCCCCTGATCATCCTCGTGGCCCTTCTCTGGACTTGTTCCAACAGTTCCATGTCCTTTTTATGTTGAGGATGCCAGAACTGCACACAATACTCCAGGTGAGGTCTCACAAGAGCAGAGTAGAGGGGCAGGATCACCTCCTTTGACCTGCTGGTCACACTCCTTTTGATGCAGCTCAGGATACAGTTGGCCTTCTGGGCTGCAAGTGCACATTGCCGGCTCATGTTCATTTTCTCATTGACCAACACCCCCAAGTCCTTCTCCACAGGGCTGCTCTGAATCTCTTCTCTGCCCAACCTGTAGCTGTGCCTGGGATTTCCCCGACCCAGGTGTAGGACCTTGCACTTGTCATGAAGTTCAACAAGGCTAAGTGCAATGTCCTGCATGTGATTTGGGGCAATCCCAACCACAGGTACAGGCTGGGAGGAGAAATGATTCAGGGAAGCCCTGAGGAAAAGGACTTGGGGGTTTTGGCTGATAAGAAGCTCAACATGAGCTGGCTTCAGTGTGCACTCACAGCCCAGAAAGCCAGCTGTGTCCCTAGGATGCATCAAAAGAAGCGTGTTCAGCAGGTTGAGTTAGGTGATTCTCCTCCTCTACTCCATTCTTGTGAGACCCCACCTGGAATTCTGCATTCAGCTCTGAGGGTGGTTCCAAGACAAGAGGGACATGGACCTGCTCAAGTGAGTCCAGAGGAGGCTGGAGCACCTCCTATGAAGAGAGGCTGAAAGCGCTGGACTCGTTCAGCCTGGAGAAGGCTCCAGGGGGGACATTAAAGCAGCTTGCAGTACCTGAAGGGTGCCTACAGGAAATCTGGAGACAGACTTTTAACAAGGGTATGTAGTGACAGGACAAGGGGGGAATGGCTTTAAGCTGTCAGAAGGGAGATTTAGGTTAGATATTAGGAAGAAATTCCTTAGTGTGAGGGTGCTGAGACACTAGAACAGATTGCCCAGAGAAGCTGTTGCTGCCCCATCCCTGGCAGTGTTCAAGGCTTGGAGGTCTAGTGGAAGGTGTGTGTCCTTGCCCGTGGTAGGGGCATTAGAACTTTGGAACTAGATGATCTTTAAAGTCCCTTACAACCCAAACCATTCTATGATTATATGATTCTGTGATTCTATGACTAAATCATGTCAGCTATGCAGTAGTGCTTGAATATTAGCACAGGACTGTTTATGCAGTTTTAAGTACTAACTATTCGTGTTTTCCAACAGTCACATCTTTTTGCTTTTTCATATTTTAGGCTGTGTTGCACAACAAAATATGGTGTTGTGCAACAAAATTAAAACTGTTTAAAGAAGAGTTTAATGCAGTGCCTTAGAAATGCTAGTGCAGCTTTATGTGTGCGTTTCTAAGTTTAGTTCACTTTTCAGCATACCCTATTTTCTGTAGCATGAGTATATATGATTTTATGTGATGACACAGTATCAAAAAAACCTCTCTTCTCTTGCCCATTATTTCTCAACATCTTTAATAGATTCCAGGTTTAGGGATATATTATTCCTGAGGACTTTTAAAAATAACTAATGAAATAGCTATTTGTTTAGAGGAGGAAAAAGTGATTTATAATCCAAAAGAAGTCAGAAATCTGAATATTTAATGCCAGGCAAAGCCCAATATAAGTGCCTGAAGTATATATTAATGGAAAAAGGAACTTATAGCAGTTAATGTATTTTCAAAGCATTTCTTTCCTCTAATGTTACATAAGTATTCCAGTTCCAAAATAGATTTAACTGATGCCAAATCAGTTTCTGTACATCCTTTCAGCAACTTGGAAAGTGATAGGAATTCTGCTTAATGAAAATTAGATTTTTCAAAAGGCAGAAAGCCCCTTTCATGTGGCTTTAAGTTCTCTACTATAAGTTCTCAGATGTTCACTGTCACTGACTGATGATACAAGCATTATTTGAAAGAGAATTAACATGAAATAGTACAAAAAATCTATTAGACATTGTAGATTATTGATAAAGAACTGAGAAGAACATCTAAGCTCTAGTGGACTGGCTATAGGACACAAGCAGGCTAGTGTTAATACATTTTTTAGTAAATAAATAGGAATACTTTCCAAATGATGCAATCTTGAAAAATTGACGTATCCATACTGATCTACTATGAGTATTATTCTTTTGATTGTTTTATTTATTCAGTGTGGAATTTTTCAGTGTTGAATTCTCAAGAGATTAACATAGGGGAAGCGCAGAGTTTAATGCTATAAATATTTACTAAAATCTATTCTGGATAACCAAACCAACGAGGGTGGCTGATTTATTAAAAAAAAATCACTTCTTATACACATTCACACACTCCACTTCCATAACCAGTCAACATTTTTCTGTTAAACTTGTCTTATAGACAAAAGCTGCACTTAAAGCGTTTGTGTGTGAAATTATGTGACTTTTGTATGTGTAAATAAATATATTAAAACTCCCCTGATAATTACAGATAACCCATTGTAAAAAAATCATCAGTTCGGGCAAGCACAATGAAAGGACATGATTAATTAGCATTCCAGACAAACTTCTAAATCACAGTAACTTTGCTCAGGTTTACATTGTGATCTTTTAATTTATTTTGATCAATTTGGTTGACATACTGGGATTAAAAATGCTGCCTTTTGAGTTATAAAAACCTTATTTGTATACAGAAGAAATAGGTAAGTTTAAAAATTGTGGAATTAACCGAACAGAATACCCACATGCATGTCGATCATCTGTGACTTCTGAGTGTAGTCTCCTGCAAAGAAACCATTTTAGAGTGCTTTCGGAGTAAAAATACCAGAACTGAATGCAAATGTGGAGACTGAACTGTAAAAAGTTGCATGTATAAAGGATTACTTAAAGTTCATGGAATCCTTAAAGTGAGCATATGAATGTTTTTCATTACATGAAATAAGGTAAGTGAGCTGCATACATGAAATAGTATGCAATTATCTCTAAATACATAAGTATAAATTAACAAATACTGATGATTCCAAAATTATTCTAGATTTTCAAGTTTACTTAATCTTGGCAAAATAAACACCAGAATACTTCACATTTGCAACATATTTGTTATATAGTAAACATCAGATAATTCTAATTTGCAAGTTTTACTTAACTGTTTTCTTCATTGCATTAGACCAAATGTCTCCCACAAATAAAGAAGATGAAGTTAACCTCCCCTAACATTTGTATGTCCACTACTTACCCTGTCACATGATGGTCTTTTCATAGTCAATGACTGTTAGTCAACATAGTCAACAGAATCTGGAGTCCATTTCGCATTAAGTTGGCAACTAGATGAATCACACCCCAAAGGTACCTGTTGCTGTCCATGGAATGCCAAATTGTGATTGACTAGTACAGATGTCTGTGCTGTATATGCTTACACTTCAGGGAGACAAATCCTGTGCAGTCACTCTGAGTTGTATGAGTGAATCAGAATTTATGTGCAAACAGTTGACTCAGTAGAAATTCTACAAAGCATTTGTGGTTTGGATGTCTGATACATGTCCTGTCCAAGCAATCTGGGCATTTTCAGTACCTCATACCAAGCCCACAGGACTTATTGCGTGTACACAGGCCATTTCCACTGCATAGATCGGGTTGAAGAAATAAAAAATGCATGGTATGGGCCAGTTGGCTTGTCTGCAGATGCACTGAAAACTTCACTGGCATTTCTTGGTGTGCTACAAATGCTATACTACCTGAACTGTTGAACATCCTGGGTAAATGTCCATGCTGCCATGTTTTATTCGAGCAAGGTTACCATTATTCCATGGAAATCCAGAATTAGTATCTCATACATTACCTGAAAAGCATATCAAATGAATAAGTTTAATTTTCCTTCACATGTCTAGCAGTGATTTCTCATAATTCAATATAAAATGGAATGCATATAACAAGAAATAGAAGAGAAGGATTCGTCTTATGGAAAGGTAGTCATAAATCCTCAGAACTAATTTTTCACACTGGTTTTATGAACCACTGGAGCTGAAAAGCCTTGGAGAACTTTTTGGAATTTTCTGGCAGAAATAAATACAGTTGGCTGGGTCTAATAAAACACAAAACGTCTCAACTAGATATGAAATTGTTGTTATTGTTATTGTTAGAAAATCACTGGCCATCTGGTTTGGCATAATGTGCCATAAGATACAAAATATGGGTGTAAAATTTAGCATTCAAATATTTTCTTTAAAATAGAGGAGCCAAATATATGCTACATCATCAGTATTCACAACTGGAAGAGAGAGATAGAAACTGAAGCTCTGAACTCTACACTGTGAAAACTAATATAGGACAAACAAAATAAGCTGTTCGTCTGAAGAGTAAATGAGCATACACGCATGATGAAACCCTCATTTAAACTCAGATGCTAGGGAATAGTACAGTGGCACTTTAGATACAATTTACAGCCTTTATTGGAAATAATTGTGTGCATCCTCTCAGGAGCTATACAAAGATTATATAAAACAGAAAGAGCCCACTTTTCTGAAAAAGAAGAAAAAGGGTGCAAGCAAGAATTTTCCTGGGGTTTTTTGTTTTGTTTTTTTTTTTTTTTTTTCAAACTTTACTTCTACAACTTCAGGTACTCTTTGCAGCAAGGCAAATCATTGAAGCAATATGAAACACCCAGGTGCTGCAGACAAAGCAGTTCTGATTAAAATCCAGATTATCTAATTACCCTATCAATATCTTTACATTGATCACTTACAAATAATGTTTGATAAATAAATGCTTGCAGTTAATCCTTTGAATTTAAAAATGTAATGTATTTATATCACAATTTAAATGTCTCTAAAACTAGATGTATTCCCCTTTCTTCCAGCTGCCTCCAGTGGATTTATGTGACTATGTAATGGAAATTAGCAAGAAATTGCTGTATATTTTCAGAGACTACATGGACCTCAGGAGAAGAGGTACTGGAAATGGATAGATTTTCATTATTTTATTCTGATTTAAGTAACTGAAGGAAGAAAGTATAGTTGTCAGCAAAAGGAAAGTTAGAAATAATCTGACTGAGAAGAACTATAGGCCTGGAAGAGCTATATAACACATGGTTTTGCTTCAGATCATGTATAAGCTTGGACACACTAGGCAGGTCATTAGCAATCTGAACATACGCATCCAGGCATTCTGTGTTATTCTGGTGGGGGAACCTCTGTGACTCTGCCTTGCTTGCCAGGCAGGAGCACTTTGTGCTTGCAGGAGTCTATTTCCCCCTGATTGCTGTATCAGGTACCTGACTGGATCACCCTACATCTTTAGAATACCCATGCTCTAAGTTTGGAGGGAAGCCAGAATATGTGTATGTCTTGGGGAGTGCAGAGGTAAAAGCATACACGTCTTATTCCAGAAGTTGAGAAGTGCTTTTGTGTTACAGAGTTCTCATTTCTGTAATGAAAAGCAAACTATCCAAAACAAGTAAAAGATATTATTGTAATCCTCATAAAGATAAAAGGTGTTAGCTATTATTGTCATTACCTCACGATCCTCAGAGTCAGCTATTGGGGATGAAAAACATCTGGGTGTCATTTACAAAATCTTAAGTGAATGAATTTGACAAATTTGTTAAATGAAACTGAGCAGTGACAAAAAATTAAAGGGAATATGCTACCTCCCTGCAGTGTAATACCCGGCATGTCTAAAAGTTGGTGGGTTTGGGTTTTGTTTGTTTTTCTTTTTTACCAGGGAAATCAATAATACATGAAATAGAAATTCATAACAGCTGAAGAGCAATTTGTATGCCAGCATTCACCATTTATCTTGACACATGGGTATGTTGTGGAATCATAGAATCAACTAGATTGGAAAAGACCTTTAAGGATCACCAAGTCCAACCATTTCCCCTTGACTGCCAAGACCATCACTAAACTATGTCACTGAGGCCCTCATCTACATGGTTTTTGAACACTTCAAAACTGTCCTGCCAAGCATCATCATTAAATACCTTTTAGGAGAATACATTTTTCAGTAAAGCAAAAGGCAGAAGGGGACTATTATAGGGAGGCCTTTTATGATTTAAAAAGGAGTAAGATGTCTGAAATTTTCCTTCTGAATATTGGCTGCACTTGTTTTGGGCAAAGGATACATTCAGTACAATATTAAGTTGAATTGATATGAAAATGAAGCCAAACACTACACGGTGAGAGAATGCAGATTTTGGTGACTAACCCAAATCTGTCAATTTTCTACCTACCTGTACTACTATATACTTACCCTATGTTAAATTAAAGATCTTTGAAAACTGTAATGTGAACCAGTACCCAGGTCTTGCAGATCTAGTCCCATTCATAGTACTTTGTTTCTGTCATGTACGTACTTCACTCTAATTCTCAGCACAATTGTTTAGGGTCATCAGGATGTCATTAAGAAATGCAAACACTGAATACTATGTACTCATGATTTAATTTTTTATGTCCATAAGTCTTCTTTACATAAATAAGCATCGGGGGTAATGTTTATGTGGGATGTTCCACTCATCATTTATATAACTTAATCCTAATTTTTTTCATTAGTGCTCTTAAGCAAGATAATACTGAACTTTGTATATATTGTGCCTTATATATGTAGACAATCATACATGTACACAGCAAGGATGCTGGGAGAGGACACAGCCAAGACAGCTGATCCCAACTGACCAAAGGGATATTGAATCATAGAATCATAGAATAGTTAGGGTTGGAAAGGAGCTTAAGATCATCTAGTTCCAACCCCCCTGCCATAGGCAGGGATACCTCACACTAAACCATGTCCAACCCAGTCTTGAACGCTGCCAGGGATGGAACCATCACAACTTCCTTGGGAAACCCTTTCCAGTGCCTCACCACCCTAACAGGAAAGAATTTCTTCTTTATATCTAACCTAAACTTCCCCTGTTTAAGTTTTAACCCATTACCCCTTGTCACAGTATCACACAGTATCACAGTATGCTAGAGATTGGAAGGGACCTCAAAAGATCATCTAGTCCAATCCCCCTGCCGGAGCAGGAACAGCTAGATAAAGTTACACAGGAATGTGTCCATGTGGGTTTTGAATGTCTCCAGAGAAGGAGATTCCACAACCTCCCTGGGCAGCCTGTTCCAGTGTTCTGTCACCCTCACTGAGAAGAAGTTTCTTCTCAAGTTTCAGTGGAGCCTCTTGTGTTCCAGTTTGTACCCATTACCCCTTGTCCTATCATTGTTTGCCACTGAGTAGAGCCTGACTCCATCCTCGTGACACTCCCCCTTTATATATTTATAGACACTAATAAGGTCACCCCTCAGTCTCCTCCAAACTATAGAGACCCAGCTCCCTCAGTCTTTCCTCATAAGGGAGATGCTCCACTCCCTTTATCATCTTAGTTGCCCTGCGCTGGACTCTCTCCAGCAGGTCCCTGTCCTTCTTGAACTGAGGGGCCCAGAACTGGACACAATATTCCAGATGGGGTCTCACCAGGGCAGAGTAGAGGGGAAGGAGGACCTCTCTCGACCTACTAACCACTGCCCTTCTAATACACCCCAGGATGCCGTTGGCCTTCTTGGCCACAAGGGCACAGTGTTGGCTCATGGTCATCCTGTCGTCCACTAGGACCCCCAGGTCCCTCTCCCCTACACTGCTCTCTAACAGGTCGTTCCCCAACCTGTACTGGAACCTGGGGTTGTTCCTGCCCAGATGCAGGACTCTACACTTTCCCTTGTTATATTTCATCAAGTTATTCCCTGCCCAACTCTCTAGCCTGTCCAGGTCTCGCTGGATGGCAGCACAGCCTTCTGGCGTGTCAGCCACTCCTCCCAGCTTAGTGTCATCAGCAAACTTGCTGATAGTACACTCAATTCCCTCATCTAAATCGTTGATGAATATATTAAATAATACTGGTCCCAGTACTGACCCCTGAGGCACTCCACTAGTTACAGGCCTCCAACAAGACTCAGCCCCACAGACTACAACTCTCTGGCTTCTCTCCTTCAGCCAGTTCACAGTCCACCTCACTACCTGATCATCCAGACCACTCTTCCTCAATTTAGCTGTGAGGATGCTGTGGGAGACTGTGTCAAATGCTTTGCTGAAGTCAAGGTAGACCACATCCACCGCTCTGCCATCATCCATCCACCATGTTATTTCCTCATAAAAGGCTATGAGATTGGTCAAGCATGACCTCCCCCTGGTGAAGCCATGTTGTCCTATCACTACAGTCCCTAATGAAGAGTCCCTCCCCAGCATCCCTATAGGCCCCCTTCAGATACTGGAAGGCTGCTATGAGGTCTCCACACAGCCTTCTCTTCTCCAGGCTGAACAGCCCCAACTTTCTCAGCCTGTCTTCATACGGAAGGTGCTCCAGTCCCCTGATCATCCTTGTGGCCCTTCTCTGGACTTGTTCCAACAGTTCCATGTCCTTTTTATGTTGAGGATGCCAGAACTGCACACAATACTCCAGGTGAAGTCTCACAAGAGCAGAGTAGAGGGGCAGGATCACCTCCTTTGACCTGCTGGTCACGCTCCTTTTGATGCAGCCCAGGATACAGTTGGCTTTCTGGGCTGTGAGTGCACATTGAAGCCGGCTCATGTTCATTTTCTCATCAACCAACACCCCCAAGTCCTTCTCCACAGGGCTGCTCTGAATCTCTTCTCTGCCCAACCTGTAGCTGTGCCTGGGATTGCTCCAACCCAGGTGTAGGACCTTGCACTTGTCATGGTTAAACTTCAGAAGGCTGGCATCAGCCCACCATACAAGCATGTCGAGGTCCCTCTGGATGGCATTCCTTCCCTCCAGCATATCAACCTAACCACACAGCTTGGTGTCATTGGCAAGCTTGCTGAATATTCACTCAATCCCATTGTCCATGTCACCGACAAAGATGTTGAACAAGACCGGTGCCAACACCAATCCCTGAGGGACACCACTCATTACTGTCCTACTGGGCATTGAGCTGTTACTCACTACTCTTTGCATGTCGCCATCCAGCTAGTTCTTTATCCACGGAGTGGTCCATCCATCAAATTGATGTCTCTCCAATTTAGAGACAAGGATGTCATGTGGGGCAGTGTTGAACACTTTGCACAAGTCCAGGTAGATGACATCAACTGCTCTACCCCTATGCATCAGTTCTGTAGCCCCATCATAGAAGGCCACCAAACTGGTCAGGCAGGATTTCCCCTTAGTGAAGCCATGCTGTCTGTCACCAAGCACCTTGTTGTTTCTCATGTGCCTTAGCATGCTTTCCAGGAGAATCTGCTCCAAGATTTTGCCAGGCAAAATCTTGAAGACTGGCTGGTCTGTAGTTCCCTGGGTCATATGTTATTTCATACGTTATATATATATGATATGATCTAACATACGTTATATATGTCATATCATTGTTTTATATATATCATATGTTATTTCATAACATATGGCGTCATGCTCAACATGTAAAGCTGTGGGAAGAAGAAGTAAAAGGGGGATGCTTCAGGTGATGGCATTTAACTTCCCAAGTAACTGTTATGTGTGATGGAGTCCTGTTTTCCCAGAGATGGCTCTAAACACCTGCTTGCTGATGGGAAGTAGTGAATAAATTCTTTGGTTTGCTTTGCTTGTGTTCATGCCTTTTCCTTTACTTGTTTAACAGACTATCTCCACTCACAGGTTTCTTTACTTTTACCCTTCTGATACTCTTTCCCCATCCCTCCAGAGGAGGAGAGTGAGTGAGCAGTTGGGTTGTGCTTAGTTGCTGCCTGGGGTTAAACTATGACATTTTTATGTGGAAGAAAAAAAGACAGCAAACGCAGAGAACTGAGGAGTGGAGTATACTGAATTATGCTTACTGTTGCCCCTGAAAATGGTACTAAGGTTTATTATTGTTGGGATTTAGCTTCTCAACAGTACCCACAGCATCCAGTGCATTTGCTGCCTTAATATCAGCTACAAGCTAAGAGTCTGGCATTGACAGCAGTCTGCTCGTGGAAATTTTTCTGTTTGTTAGACATGAAGGTAATGACTACAAATTATAATGTTAGAAGAAAAATTATGTATGAAAGTTCTTCGGGTTTTCAGTAAACTTTGAATTTTTTATATCTATGTAGCACCTTTTTTTCCGAGGGTTCTTGATCCTAATGGTTTCCTTTTGGGAATTAAAATTGTGGTAGGAGTGTAGAATAGTCCATATGGAATACTGGATAAATGCATGTGAGTGTACTTGTGCATGAACAAAGATGTAAAGTATAATGCTGTGCAGTCATATGTTTCACTTGGCATAAAAGGCACTTCAGAGGCTTGCTGAAGTAGTCAGAATGACTTTATTCAGTTGTGTTTTAGTCAAGCTGAGTATCATTTAGAGGACCAAACGTTACTCTGCTTTACTAGAAGTAGCACCATTTGAAGCAATGTCCCAGCACTGTGCTACCCAAATAACAGCACAGAATATTTTGTAGTATGTACATATATAGGAATATTTGCAGGTGCATTTACAGATACATATACACTTCCTCTCCTCATGAAGCAGGCAAATAAGTTCTTCCTACTGCTTTTTTATCCTCACTTGCTGTGTTGACACTAATACAGAGAGGATTAACAAAATGTTCTATAAACTTTTTTGATGAAAAATGTTTAAGGGCTGCCAAGTCCATAATCATTTGTGTCTTGAAGTTTTGATGAGAAAGACTGTCAAGGAAACAAATAATAATGAATTACAATAGAAAATGCTGCCTTTAGAAAACTGGGGAGATAGGAGCCGAAGATCTACCAGACTAATCTGTAATTGCTGAGGCTTTCACAATAGAAGAAGACACTGCATGGATACCCTAGGTTTTAATGTAAAAAGTTTATTTGTAAATGTTTTAATGAGTTTTCAAGGAACATTCTGAAGATAGGTGGCAAAGACAGTTTTGACATCATGCAGTAAGGAGTACAGTCATTTTCTGAAATGTGTTCCAGGCAACTGCTTGGCTCATTTCTACACACATTAAATTTTTGGTTTTTTTTTTTTTTTTCCATTCCAGACTGGAATGTGAAGTGATCTTATGGAAATTCATGAAGAACAGGTGAACTAATTCAATGGGAGAGGAACATACCTGCTATTTAATTATTGATGAATATTTTCCAGAATTCCATTAGTTTCCCAGAGGTCACTGCTAAATTACATCAAACTTTATGATGTGATTATATCATGAATCAAGATTCAAGTGTTTAACAAACAAAATAATTTAACATTGATATAATGGGAACTTGGAAATATTTCTTTCTTTCCCTTACCTGAAAAGTTCCTGTCTAGCAGCATGAGTTTGGCAAAGCAGTTCTGGATGACAAATTTTGTTTGTTTGCTTAAATACTCATTGTAAGAGCTGTAGGTGGGCTATTAAACTAAAACAGCATTTCCATTACACTGTGTCAAAGCAGAACCCATGTCCTCCAACTGGTGGCTAAGATACTGTCAGCAGCATGCAAAAGAAATTCAGACACTATAAATAAAGCTTTTATTTCCCCAAAGAGCTGTTTTTTTAACAGCAGAAATACTATAACTTTTCTACTTCTATTGATTTTACTTCTTAAGGACTAAAATGGAGCCTCACTTAGTAGAATGTCTTCTGCCTGAAACTTACTACTCTTTTTTCAATCCATCTTTAAAAATAACTAAATAGGGCCTTTTTTATACATACCAGATTTAGTTTGTATACGTAGAGATCACAGATTCAGCACTGGGAAGAAAAACAGGCAATATATACAGATTAGGAGGAAAATTATTACTGAGGTACAGAGAAACACCTACACTGGCTTTCTAGTCTGTAATTCATATTGAGCTTCTCATCAGCCAACACCCCAATGTTCTTCTTCTCATGGGTGCCCTGAATCACTTCCCCTCCCAGCGTGTATCTCTGGTTGGGATTGGCCTGACCCATGTGCAGGATCTTGTACCTTTTTGAACTTCATGAGGTTGGCATTGGCCCACCTCTCAAGCATGTCAGGGTCCCTCTGGATGGCATCCCTTCCCTCCAGCATATCAATCGCACCACATAGCTTGTGTTGTCAGCAAACTTGCTGAAGGTGCACTCAATCCCACTGTCCATGTTGCCAACAAAGACGTTGAGCAAGACTGGTCCCAACGCCCACTCTTGAGGAACACCACTCATTAATAGTCTCCACTTGGACATCGAGCTATTGACCACAACTCTTTGAGTGTGACCATCAAGCCAATTCCTTATCCAGGGAGTGGTGGATTTGGCAAATCCATTCCTCTCCAGTCAGCATTTTCGTAGCAATCCTGCAGGTTAAATGTACTGAATCAGCCACAGGAGCCTACATTTTGTTGTCATCCCAAAGATTTAGGAAGGATAATGTAGCAATTGCTGGATGCTACATATATTCATGCATTCAGGTAACCCTTTTAAAGCTGCTGAACTAGCAGGTCTTACAGCTTTTGTTGCCAATAAAGTGGTGATACACTGTCATTAACTTCAGGGCTGTAATTTGTCAACTGTCAAACTGTATGAACTGATAGTCTGAAAGCCCCAAGATTTGGAAAGCTCACAAACCAGCATCTCACCTGTATGATTTTGATCATATGGGTTTTCAGTAAAATAAATAGTCAATGGGTAAAATTCTGGTCTTTTAGTCTTCCGTGGTGAGACAGCAGGTCCTGGTGTAGTGCCAAAGAGAAAGGATATAGAAAATACATTCTGGAGTACTGGAAAACTTTTGTCAATTTATTCATTTTCTTCCCATCACTGCAGTGGAGGTGGGATTAGACTTGGCACTGTGAGGCTCATAATGGTTTGTCATCATGTGATTATTGCCTCCTGTTTTTGCTCCTGCCCTGTCAGATTGTGGCATGTATAAGAAAAGGAAGAACAAAGAATAACAAAGAAACCACCAGAAAGTGAGATTTACAGGAAAGCGTGATTTCTATAGGAACTGCTGTATGGAACAATGATTGTCAAAGTAGCCACCACTTGATCACAGAATAAAAAATGTACTGGCATCCAGCTGGATTGTCATGCTAAATTGGGTATCATCTGCATTTGGGTTTGTCATGATGACAGAGCTTTACTCCTCTTCAGTTTTTCTTTCACTTGAAAGCTGGAGTTCAGAGCCTTATGAAGTTGATGCGATTTTGTAAAGATACTGACTTTTCTCTGCTCACACTCACCAGCCAAAAAGCTGCTTTGCTTTTCTTTTTTAAAATAATTAATCTAGCTTAAAAATGGATTAGTGTTGTCATATCTTCTTAACAATGTGAATAGAAACTCAGAATGAACAGCTGTCTGGACAATCTTGGATGAAAGCCTTTCCCTAGGCAAATGCAGTCAATGCACAGGCACATGCAAGGGCACACTGCAGCCGTTACTGATGCCCATCTGTTAGACTGGCATGGTGCCCGCTCAGAAGCCGAGTCTGAAGCAAGGTCTTCATGCTGTAGGCTCTGCCTCCTCTGTGACAGTACTGCCACCTGGGTGCCAAATGACTTTTCACAATGACTTCCAGTTTTAGGTAAAAAGCAAAATAATACCACTTTAATAATGAGGACAAAAATTATGTAATCCATTGAAAAACTTGTTTTACTTTCAAACAAATTTGATGTAATGGCTTTACTGATGCGTGTGTGTGTGTATACACACACATTTATATGAAAAATCACATTGTTGTTTCCTGTTCTGACAAGTGACTACAGTTACTCCTTTTCATGAAGACAGAGAATTTGTCATTACCTAGGCAAGTGATCTATAGATCTTTCCTAAGTATAGGGGAAGGGATAGATCAGAATATTCAGGAGTTATACCTGGGACAAGATTATTTACAGAAAAGAGATCACATTTAAGTGTCTGAAGAGGCTGATTCTTTCTACCCCGGGAAATTCTTTGAAAAACACAGGTAACCAAATAAGAGACATTTGATTTCAGATTCTTCTGAAATGTCTGTCCCTTACCTAATGTTTCTGATGGAGTCAATGCCACCAAAAGTTAGCAGTAAACTTTTATAGGCAGTGAAAGGAATTTGGAGTAATTCCTACTGCAATGCATAATCCTCCTACAAGCTGTTAAAAAGACCTTAACTGTTGTATGCAAAACTATAGCTGCACTGTTTCATATCCTGCCAAAATTGGGCTTATATTTTACAGCAGAGTATTCTATTTAATTATGTTTTCTTCAATAGAACGATTTATTCTTTTGTTGTGGTCTGGTAAATTAAATACTATGTTTATGACATGTCCAATAGTATAATGTAAAAATGTGGGTCAGTTTGTTTTGTTTTGTTTTTTTACTTATATGACCTTAAGTATGAAAGTGTTGTGTATTTGGAACACTGGGCTATTGCCCTGGAAACCTCACTGATGAGATTAATAAGAAATAACTTCAGAATATTTTAGCTTTTCCTATTTAATGGAATATGACTATTTTACCTTTATATGCATACAGGTTTATTATTACTAAAGGAATTATGTTTAGTCATCACGAAGAATACAATACCACAATGACAGAAGTAAAAATGCCTTTTAAGTTTTTAAATAGAAATATTACAAAAAAATCACCAGGGGGCAATGTTACACAAACTCTCCAAGTTCCTTTTAATGTGTGAGCATATACTGCCTTTTAGAAAGATGTGTTAGCTTTAGCCTTCAGTTATGTAAGACTCTGCAATAGTAGCAGCTCTCTCTGAAGAGGGAACTTCATGATTATCAGAAATATTTACTGTTTCCTTGACATCTGATCAGAATTCATCATCGAGGCAGACTTAGTTACTCATAGGTAGACACTGTTTTCTGAACTCTGTGAATGAGAGACATACATTAAGCCCTACAGGCTACTCGGGTTACACAATATAGTTTTAACACTCTCAAGTGATGTCCCAGATGACTGGACTAATGGAGCAATTGCTATGAAGTGGAAGCCCTTAATGCGGGGATAGTTTTACAGTATGAAGAGCTTTCCAGAGACCAGAGAAAAGATTTCATCATATTTTAGTTCTCTGCATTGTAATGCCTCACAAAATAAAAGTGACGTTGGAATACACTGTACTGTCTTTTTGCAAAGAGCTACTAACAACAATATCTCTGAATCTGCAGAGAGTAAAAGAAAAAAAAAAGAAATGTTTAATTAGTGTTTCAATAGAGAAAGATTGTTCAAGTATGTTCAAGTAGGAAGGACATATTCACTATCCATCCCTGCTCTGCGACCTATAGTTGTCATTTATTTGATCCTTGCAGTGGTATTTATGATAATACAAAGATAATCCTTAGGGTTTTTTCATTGAATTGTTAGATTTGTTTGTAACTGTCATACCACCAGTTTCTTTCTTTTATAAAGCAGAAGAAACATTTCATGTTTGACTCCATCCAAAATATTTAAACTGCATCTTGTATTTTTAAAGCATCTACTGCTTTACCTTACTTATGAAGTAATGACATTCAAGATACCATACTAGCCTCAAAAAAAAAAGGATTTCAAATCCAACAGGGTTGGACTATTTTAGGTTATTTTCAGCCCATTTTAAAGGGGCTAATGCTTATATTTAGTTATATTTCTAGGAAAAAATTTTTTTTTTTTTTTTTGTTATCCAAAGTCATGGAGCACTCGGCACATGGAAGGTAATATCCATTGGCTTGTCACCACCATAAAACAATGCTCCTGAAAATAGTAGTGCAGAAAAATGCTCTAATTTAACATGGTCCTAGGAAATGTAGATGGAATTATATGTGGAATTAAAATGGCTTCTGAATGAACTGATTCCATTTCAACACCAAGTCATATGGAAAGATAGAATATGTGATTCTTATTTATTGTATTGCTGGAGCTGACAAAGTAATTTAAGCAATGTAATGTATGCACAAAGCAGTTTGGGTCCAGGTGTAGCCCGATGACTTAATACCTGGTTTTATATACTTGTTCATCAGGCATATAAAAAAATTCAAACTGTTTTCATTTGCCTCTGAGGGGACTGAATTTGTATGAATTTGCAGCAGAAGTAATTTATGTGTTTGAACAGCAATTTTCTGACTGCAAAGATAAATGCTCATCTCTAGCCTGTGGTAAGCAAACTTACAGGCTGAGTCAAATCAAAAATTGAATAATGGATTAGTTAAATAAATAAAAAATTTAACTTAGAAAATATAACATTTGCTATCTACTCTTACAGACTTCCAACTTCAGGAATTATACAGCAGCATTTGAATCACTTTCCCAGCCACAGATGTTGCTTAAACCACAGTGACAGAAATGGAGCTGAATAGCACAGTACCATAGTTACTTTGGCAAAATAAAAAGCAAACTCTGGAAGAAGTCCAAACTCAAAGAATATTGGCCCTGCAAATAGATGTGGGAAAGCCAACTTCTTGCACTCTC